TCCATCTGAGAGTAGCCTCCTTCGGAAAAGCTGTTTCAGGAAAACTCCTGAGCCCCTGCAAAAGACAAAAATAGGCCAGAAGGAGAGAGAGAAAGAGAGAGAGAGGGGAGGGGAAAGAACTGCAGTAAAAAAAATTCCAAACCCCAGCCTTGAGAGTGATGCTGATGCGGGTTGTCGGTCCCTGGGGATGGTCCGGCAGCAGGAGTGGGGTGAACCCTCAATCCCTTCTACTGCACCCCAGGATGTGCTGACCCCAGTGGGATCCTGCAGCTTTCGGGAAAGCATTTGGGGGTAGGACAGGAGCTCTGCAGCGCTCGCATCCAGCAGCTGGGACCTGAGAGGTTTTCCCTTTGGCTGAGCTCCTCCGTGACCCCTTCACTGCTCCGGGTGGCCTGGATCCATCCTTCCCCAGGAAGAACTGCAGCAGATCCAGGGAGCCAGACCTGGGGCCACTGGGAGCAGCCATGTGGCTCCTGCTCCATAAATATTTCAGTTCAGAGAAAGCCTGTCAGCTTCCATCTGTCTCAGGCACCCGGCAGCGTGGCAGGTCTCCCGATGTGCAGGACCGATGCCCTGCACAGGAGCTGCCCTGCCGGGGTCCCAGTGGGGTGTCCGGCTTCCACCAGTCAGAGTGGCACTGGGGGCCTTTCCTCTGCACCAAAATACACGTGGGGATTGCTGACACCTGAAGGCAAGTTGCTGTAAAGTGGGTGAATAGCAAGAAATGCTAAAAACGAAGGAATCCGCCTGAGGAGGACTTGCAAGACAGTAGCTGGGCCATGCAGCCAGAGCTCCCCAGGCTCCCAGCCTGGCCCCAGCTTTTCCCTACCGCTGTCTTCCTCCCTTCGCTATCCATCATCTGCCCATGGGGCTGTCAGGGTCTCTGAGGACAGAAACACCTTAGCCCCACTGTGCCTTCTACCCCTTCCCTGCAGCACAACCTGCTGTTTGGCCGTGACCTGCAGAGATGGGAGGCTTCGAGCAACTCTGCTGCACAGGTCTGGAAGGGGTTAACGGCATGAGATGCTAACGAGCCCAATCTGGCTGCTATTTATACCCAGGAGGCTCTTCTCCTACCCCACACCCTCACCCCCCCACTGTTCCTGCTGCCTGGAAACTTGGGCTCGCAGCTTCCCTTGCATGCAGCACAAGCCAGCTAATTACCCACCCAGGAGCTGGAACGAGCTGTGCCATTGCAGACCAGCCCTAAAGAGAGAAAGAGGAGCCACTGCTGCCAGGGGCTTGGGGAAAGCGAGGCAGAAATCCCCTCTGCATCCCTTTCTGGGAGAAACAACCCAGCTGCTGAGGGTCTGTGCTGGCTCCTCGCTCGTTCCCTGCAGCAAGGTGGGGTCCCTTCATCCATCTCCCGTGGGAATGCCGTGCTGCAGCCACGAGCTTGGAGGCACCAACCTGTGCTTTGCACCATGCCTGCAGGAGAAGCTTGCGTAGAAAGCCATGCACGTGTGGTTGAGGGCAGGTCCTGGTCCACGAGACCCCGCAGCGCATCCACAGCACGAGGCGATGAATTAGGGAGAGCTGCTGTTTCCCAAAGCTGCGTGTCCTTGCAGGGAAGTGTTGCTTTGTCGGGGAAACTTTGGCTACACCTAGCCCTGGAGTTTTAACTCCACGTACCCATTGTCTTCTGACCCTCAGTCCCGAAGCTATGTCCCACTCCTGCCTGGCTCTTGGCAACAAGCTGGAGAGATTTGGCCATTGTGGCTCTGGTCAGTAACAGATACTTGCAGGACCAGGCTATATTTAGAGCGGCTGCTCCTTCTTATACCTTCTCAGCTCCTGGCAGCCATGGGCATTGGGACTTCCCCAAGCAGGGGACGTATCAGGACCACGTGCTTACAGTTAGGCTGGCCCTATCCACACCGAGCTTGCCTGATCCTGCTTTGAACACTTCGTCTTCTGCAGGTTCCCAGGCACGATAGCCCAAATCCTTCTCAGATGAGATGGCATGTGAAGAAATGTGTTTCTTCCAGTAGAGGAAGGCAGAAAAGCTGGGATTATGTGTTGAAGAAAAAATAGGGAGCAGATATTGGTGTTGGAGCACAGGGGATGTCTATGGGGACCAGCACTGGGGAAGGATAACCAGGGAATAAGATGAGAAAATTGTGTTAATAGACAAGACCACTGGAGAGACCAAGGGGAACGATGCCATCCAGCTCAGCAGACCTCCTCTGCCCCTTGCCCTCGCTGGGGTGAGACGATGTTGCTGGCAGCTTGCTCTTACCAGTGGCTGAGCTTGGAGGGAGGGGTAGGAGCAGCAAAGTGGTGTTCTCTGGCCTGGGAGATAAAAGCAATGCAGCACAGCGTCTGCACTCGGTGTTGGGGCTTGTTATCTCCCCTGGCTCAGACTCAAGTCTGGAGGATGCTTCCCTACAGGGCTCAGCTGATTTAGCTGCGGTAAATGGGCTAGGAGCAAAAATCCCCACAAAATCATTCACCCAAGAATTTCCTTTTCCTCCCTGGATCCCAAAGATCTCAAAGGTGTTGAAAGTTGTATTGGGCTGAAACCAGGTGAGCAGAGAGGAAGGCTTAAATATTTACAGCCTCAAGGAAATCAGAGCAAAATGTGATGTGGTGGCCAGAGGATACCGGACCAGTCTTTGTTTATACATCCTACCTGTTTCTGTGCCTGTCCTCTTGCTGCACATCTGCCTGCTAAGCTGTGAGCAGAGATCTAAGCCTGAATAACCAGAGCCCAGCTGCAAGGTGGTGGGTTTGCACCCGTCTGTACCTGGCAAGACATGCCCCAGGGGAGAGGGTGCCCCTCAGCGTGATGCCAGCCCCGCTGGGAACAGGGAGAGTGCGTCCTCCAAAGGAAACTCATCCCGTGGTGATTCCTGGATATCCCTGACCTGAGCCTCCCAAGGAGAAAAGGAAGGTTGTGAGTGGAAAATAATAAAAAAAAAAGCCCCGTTGATGCCAGGACTGGCAGCCCAGCACCTTGGCTGAGCTCTTCCTGCACCCGGGCACCTCTCCTGATGGGGCAGAGGGCTGGGCTGGGGGCACTTGCGCCTGCAGCCTGCCCAGCGCCCAAGATAGCCCAGCAGCTGCCCGGGACCTCGGCCAGGCACCAGCTCCGGGCAGTCCCTGATTTGGATGTGACCTTTGAGCCTTGCACCACTGCCCAAGGCTGGGGCCATGGCTGGGGGTCCCTTGTTGAGCAGGGGGACCCCCTCCCACCCAGCCAGCGGCAATAGCAAGAGGAGGAGGGAGGAGGAATAGCCCCACTCTGCCCTTCTCCAGCTCCTGCTTGTGCCCAAAGAGGAGCAAAGGTGTTCCTGGGGCGCAGGGTGGGAGCCAGGCATACCCCATAACCCTTCTCTCTCTGCCGCAGTGAGGCTCCACGACAGCATCTCCGAAGAGGGCCACCACTACCTGATATTTGATCTGTGAGTAATGGTTAAATGCATCTCTTAATCCACCGGCAGCTGCATGCTTCCACCCCAGGGCAGCCCCCGCCAAGCCTTCCCCCATCCTCCCCCTCACTCAAGCCCTTCCCGCAGGCTGGGTTTGAACCAAGCTTGGGTCGCCCAAGCCAGACCGAGGGCAGGTCTCTGCCCTGCGCCCCCAATGCCGTGCACGGTGCAGTGGCATTTCAGGGGGGGATTTGCCAGGGCTGAGCAGGCTGTAAATCAATCCAGCTCCCTTGCGTGTCGTGCTGAGATGGCCGAGCGTGACTCCCCCGCCGTTTTTCTCCCAGGGTCACCGGTGGGGAGCTGTTTGAGGACATTGTGGCCAGGGAGTACTACAGCGAAGCGGATGCCAGGTGAGCACGGACACACGCCGGGCCACAGAGGGGACAGCAGTTGTCCCCTTCTCCCATGAGCTGCTGCCTTCCAGGGTCCTACACATGTGGCTTTCCACAGCACGAGCTCCTTCCATGCTGGGAGGTGTTTTACAGACGTACTCATAAACCAGATGTGTAGTGCTAAACCAAAAAGAGCTCTTTTTAACTCGTTCAGCTCCTGTGTCAGGAAGTGCCTGTGTTACCAAAGGGCTGGTCCCCCCTCAAACCAGGCAGCTGCCAGCCGCCGCTTGCAGCATCCTCCCTCCCTGGGCTGGTGATAAAGCCCACATCTGACCTCCCTGTAAGGGAGGATGACATCGGAGTTCCCTGGGCTGGGGGCATCAGGGCTCCCCAGGCTGGCAGGGAGGAAGCCCAGCACATCAGGCGGGTGCCCCAGCCAGGAGTGTGGTAGCACAGCCACCCCCCAGTCCTCACACTTTCCTCTTGCAGCTGCATTACAGTCGTTTGTAAGCGTTTCTCTGGCGTTTACCACTTGAAAGCACTAAGGAGGAGCAGTCAAGACAGGCTGGGTGGGAGGATGGGATGGAGCTCCGCTCCCTCCCACGCTCCCGCTGGCGCTTTCCAGGTACCTTGCAGCAGAGGCAGGGGGCTGGGTACAGTTCCCTTTGGTCCTTACAGCTTGGCCAGGGCACAGCATTAGCCTCATTTTTTTGAGGGGACATGAATTGGCCCTCTCCAGTCTCCAGATACCACTGGGCCTCTTCTCTTTGCCCCCAGAATAAGCACAGATGTCCAAGGGGGTGGTAAGCTTTATGCTACTTCTGTCTGCATGGAAATATCCCTTATTTCTAGGCAGAAAGCAATCTCATTTAATGGGCTGCCTGCACTGAATCCACTTACAACCCATCCACTTATTAGTGTCATACAAATAAAATAAAATACATGTAAATAAAGACCTTCTGCCTTGCACACAGCTGTTTTGGAGCAGAAGTGATCATTGCCTCAGTCTTTTTCCCTTCCTTTCTCATGCGTGCAGCAGAGCTGGGGTTTAATGAACTAGATATAAAGTGAACAGACGCAGCAAGAGCCACCCGCGTTAGAGGAGGCCAGGGAAATGGGGCCGAAGCGAAGGTTAGCTCGATGTCTGAGGAGAACGTCTGCTCTGCCTGCGTTTGGAGACCAAATCTGGGCTGGCAGCCTCCACCAGTGGTCTCCAGCTTTCCCCCAGCATTGCTTCTGTGGGGACCCCCTGGGCTCAGCCGTAGCCCCCATGCTCCTGCTCGCTGTGACTGGGTGTCCAGCAGTTCTGGTGGGGTCTTACTGGGTGACAACTGCTCTCCAAGGGTGTGTGGCTTTCGGTGGAGGGGAACGCTGAGCTGTGCTGCAGGGCTGCTGGTGGGAAGCACGGTGGGGAGAGGGGCAGGAGGGGTGACATGCAGCCAAATAGAAGTGTCTAGGGAAACTCTGCCTTGCTGGCCAGTTCTATGAGTTTTCTCCTTTATCCTGCAGCCACTGCATCCAGCAGATCCTGGAGGCTGTCCTGCACTGCCACCAGATGGGGGTGGTCCATCGGGATCTGAAGGTAGGAGATGCAGGGGAAGTGCTTGTGGCAGGTCATGGGAACCCCATCTGTGATGCAAAACCCTGTGCAGCAATGCCCAGCATCCTCCAGGGGAGCTGAAACAGTGGGGAGGAACACCATGTAGGGCTTCTGGAAAGCCACAGAGCAAAGACCAGCTCTGGGATGAAACAACACAAGGGAGGGGGGGTAGGGAGGTCCTTGTAGTCCCTGGTCCTCTAAGGATCTGGGAACACCAGGATACACAGAGCAGGACAAAGCAGCTGGGGAGCACATCCAGAGCCCTGCCCTTCCTCCCTGCTGTGCTGGGAAGCCCCCTCACCATGACAGCAGAGGCCTGGGGAGGCTTTCGTTCTTCTCCAACCCCTGTCTCCTCGTGCAGCCTGAGAACCTGCTGCTGGCATCCAAGCTGAAGGGTGCTGCTGTCAAGCTGGCTGACTTTGGCCTTGCCATCGAGGTGGAGGGGGACCAGCAAGCGTGGTTTGGTGAGTAGGACTGGCCCAAGACAGGGCATCCTGCAGCCTATGTTGGTGTGTTTGGTCGGGGGGGCCTCTGGGAAGGACATACATCCACAGGACATGAACCTCAATTTATGGGAGCATCCCAGCAGCACCAGCCTGGAAGGCACAGCAGATGAGGAGGTTGGTGGCTCCAGCCGTGCCCCTGGAAACATCCCAGTATTGATCCAGGGCATGGAAAAACAGCTCCACAGGGAATTGATGAGTCATGGAGATGTCCTGGTGAGCTGGACAAGCTGGCAACAGGGGCAGACCCCAGGGGAGGAAAGCCTCTTCCAAGTGCTGGAGGTGCACATCAGAGCACTCCAGCCTTATGCACCATCCCCGGGGTTGGGCTGCTGCCATGGTTTGCTCTGCTCTTGGGAGTCACAGAGGTTTCTGGAGGGAGGGTGCTTGTCTGCCAGGGCCAGGGCTCTTTGCTTCCAATGCCTGGCTGGGCACCAGGAGATGCTGGTGAGCTGTATGGGGATGGGGGCTGCCTGCTGGTGATGTGTGACGGGGGCTGTCTGTCCCAGGTTTCGCTGGCACCCCGGGATACCTCTCCCCCGAGGTGCTCCGGAAGGATCCCTATGGCAAAGCTGTGGACCTGTGGGCTTGTGGTAAGTGAGACTGGGTCTGAAAAGCTGGGAACAGGCTGGGCTGCAGGGGATGAGGCAGGCTGTTGATCCAGCATGTCCCAAGTCACGGTCGCTAGATGTGTCTCGGGGAGGTCAGGGCGGAACATTCACCAAAGAGGTGGCACATTACCCTGGGCTGTCCCCAAAGCAGCACCCTCTTTCCTGCTCCAGTGGCACCCTTCTCTGAAGGATCAGCCCCCTTGCTATGTACCCAAAGCTCCCTGGCAACTCTTTGCCCCTGTGGCGCCGGTGGATTCAGGCAATGCCTCCGCACAGCTGCAGCCGTAGGGGAGCCTTCTTCCACCCGTGATGGGGAGGAGGCATTGCCCAGCCCTGCCGGGGCATCCAGCTTGAGGCTGTGCATGGTGGCTGCCAAAGCCATGTACCTCCACAGCCGCTGAACATGTCAGCATGGAGCTGGACCCACCAACGAGCCTTTTGCTTTTTAATCGCAGGGCAAATCCTCCCATTTCCCTAATTTCTCAGTTTCTCTGCTTGAGTTGGGCCAGTCCCCAGGCTGGGTCTGCTCACACCTCCAGCAATGAACTCTCTCCCACTGATCCCACATCTCCTCTCCTGGGCAGGTGTCATCCTTTACATCCTGCTGGTTGGGTACCCGCCCTTTTGGGATGAAGACCAGCACCGACTCTACCAGCAGATCAAGGCTGGGGCTTATGATGTGAGTAGGTTTGTCTTGCTCCCCCCTTTCATGGTCTCCTTTCTCTCCTGCCTTGCTGTCTGCTGCTCCAGAAGAGCAACCAGGACAAATTCAGACAGATTGGAGCAAGTTTCTTTCCTCTGTTCTGGTCTCAGAGGGTTGGGCAAGCTGTGGTGCCCAGGTGCACACACTGCCATGTTTCAGGTCCACTTTGCAGGGCAGATAGGTCTTGTCCTGGGCCTTCCACCTTTCTCCTTCCACCCCTGCTCTGCAGTTTTTCAGATGGCAGCTCTTTCCAGTTGCTACTGTCTCTCCAACATGTCCCATGGGCAGAAGCAAAGGACTGCAGGAGAACCAACCCAAGTGCAGAGGGGCTTCTGCTCCCTCTATTGCTCCCTGCAATCTCTCACCCCAGTCCCTTTGCTTTGGCAGTTCCCCTCCCCTGAGTGGGACACAGTCACTCCTGAAGCGAAAGATCTCATCAACAAGATGTTGACCATAAACCCATCCAAACGCATCACGGCAGCAGAGGCTCTGAAGCACCCCTGGATATCGGTGAGTTGGTGGCATTCACCAGTTGGGGTGGAAGGTCTAGAGATGTGGGAGTTTGCAAGGGGGGAACATCTCACTGGGGAGCACGTGTTATCAGACATGCTGTCTGGCTCTTTTCTCCATCCTGAGAAGATGGTTTCCTGGCATGGTTCCTCCCAGTGCACTCAGAACAGCCTTTTCCCCGAGGCTTTACAGCAGAGAAAACCCAGAGTGTGAATGCAAACAAGATGTCCTAGGGGAGCTAGTGTTGGGAGGGACACACATGTTGCCAGCCCTGTGGGGACAGGCTGATTTCTTGGTGTCACGCTGCACCGGGGTTGTCTTTCCTCAGGGGCGGTGGGAGCAGGCTTGTGTTTATCCACCCATACACCCCAGCAGCAACCCCCCCGCCACCCCTCACTGCACCCCACAGCTCCGGCTGCTGGTTCTCACTCTAAATCAGCTCCTAAAGGCAGGAGGAGTCCACAGGCTTAACCCTGGGAACCCACACCATGTGCAAACCCCAAGCATGCTGCTAAATGTGGCCGATCAATCAAGTTCATTCAGGGGGCAGCAATCCCCCCACTGCCAGGGCAGATCCTGCTGACTCCAGAGCTTTGACCTGCCACTGCCTGTTAAAGTTTTAGATGCTGCTGCTGCTGCAGGTAGCTCTGGCCCATGCCTTGGCCGTGGGAGACCACGCATGGTTGCATGTGTGTGGGAGCAGGGCCGGGGCAGCCCCTGTTCCCTTGGTGCCTGCGCCGAGCCGAGTCTCTCTCTTCCCAGCACCGTGCCACCGTGGCGTCATGCATGCACAGGCAGGAGACGGTGGACTGTCTGAAGAAGTTCAATGCCCGGAGGAAGCTGAAGGTAACTCTCATACCCTCCAAGCTGGCTGCAAAATGCATGATCAGGTCATTGGTGGGTTTGTTCCTCATGTGGGAAAGGACAGGGTGGTGTCTCTGGTTCAGTGTTATGAGTGTGATGGACATTTTGGGATCCCTGTTGTGAAGGAGGGAAAAGAGTCCAAGTGGGGTGGTGGCTGCATCTGGCTGGTGTTCCCACGTGCTTAGAGGAAAGCCATGGTGAGGGAAAGCATCGAGTCACACAGCTGCCCTGGACACTGGGGCGAGGACTTTCCCACTGCAATCAGTGTCAAGAAGGCTTCTCTTTGGGGCAGGACATGGACCTGAGATGCATAGTAAGACCCCTTTGCCTGATGACCAAGCCACTTTGCAGCCAAGGAACAAAGAGATCCGTAGACAGCCAAAAAACTCTGGCTCAGCCATGCCAGCAGCCCCACAGGCTTTCCCTTTTCGAGTGCTGCAGCCTGAACCCCCTCTGAAGTCATCATCTCCCCAAGCTTCACTGTCGAGCTGGAGCACCTCCCTGAAGCACCCACCTCCTGGGTGCTTCTCAGCCTCAGCCGGCAGCATGGCGCTGGGGACAGGCTCTGGAAATTGCAATGCCTCCTCCAGAGCCGGAGACACAGAATGGGACGGCGCTGATCTGTGCTGCAGTCAGAGCCATCAGCGCTCCAGGCCTGAACGCGATGTGGCACTGAGCAGTACAGCTGCAGGCTACTAACAAGATTATCAAGAAAAGAAACCGGCTATAAACTATTATTACTTTTCAGCTAGACAAGTAATCAAATTAGTTCAGGCATACACTTCAAAATAGTAATCCATTACTGTAAGCAATTAGTCCAAAGTAATCTCATTATACGCTGAGCAACTAGTTAGTAGAGTCAGCTGGAAAAGGGGAGGCATTTTTATGAATGTTATTTTGCAGCGGTGATCTTTGTGTGGCTCCCATGAAAAATCCTTGCCCCGCTGCTCTTAGCTGGCGCGGCTTTAATTACAATTAAATCCGGTTCCGCTCCTGGTGGCTCCCCTTGCCGCCAGCTGCTGGCCCCGGTCAGTGGAGTCGTGCTACATGTAGGGCAGGGTAGAACGAGACTGAAATACACCCCGGGGATATTTAATATCCCTTTAATCTTGGAGGGAAGGCAGTTTGGTAGAATGCAACCCAACGGCCTGGCGCTGGGGATACCGAGTTGGATACTGAGGGCTGCTTTTGGTGGCAGGAGGAGAATATCAGACCGTGGGCCGGTTTCCTCCCATCGAGGTGGCCAGGGGACAGGTGACAAGCAGGGCTTTCCTCCCCCAGGGCCTGGGGAGCATCAGGGGTGTGGGGGGGGCTGTGGCCTAGCACGCCCTTTCCTTCTGCCTTCTGTCTTTCAGGGAGCCATCCTCACCACCATGCTGGCCACCAGGAACTTCTCCGGTAGGTGCCATCTCCCTGCCTTACAGGCTGCCCAGGGCAAACCTGTCGGGTCCCTGGAGAGCTGGGTTTGCCTTGGGTGTCACAGTGGGGCTGAGGCTGCAGCCCAATGTCTCTGGGGATGTCTGGCATTGGGTGGTGGTCCAGGTCAGGTCACCTGGCACTTCCAGGCTGGCTGCTGGCTTGGGATGCTGGAGAAAAGGTGTCTGGCTGGGGTGCAGTGGTCCCCAGAGGTTTAGGTTTTTGGGGTTTGTATGCACCAGAGCTTGTGCGAGGGTGGGGATGTGGGTGCTGGGGTCAATCAGGGCTCAAGGCAACAGGTTTTGTGTCCCCCTGGAGATGTTTGTGGCTTAGGGAGAGTATCCTCTGCACCCAGAAAGTGTCAGAAAGGTCTCTGGGTGCCACTGCGGCTAGATAGCAGCAGGGCCTCTTGGGTCTCTCCCCAGGCAGGAGGGTGCTGATCCTGCAGGGACCCCCCCTCTCTCTTCCTGCCTCCCTACATCCTGAGGGCTGCACAGGAGCAGCCTGCACAGCTGGGAGAGGTCTCTGTGCAGCCACAAGCCCTGCTTCCCCAGTGCCCTTGCTGAGAGCTGTCCCCTTTGGGGACACCCTGCTGCCTCAGAGCAAGCCTTGCAGCTGGGATTTCCCAGGCAGGGATCAGTACATCCCAGTGATTCCCAGGCATGGAACCAAAAAGGAGCGAGGTGACTGCAGAGCTCATCCTCTCGCTGTCACCTCCAGCCCTCCCCAGCACTGGGGATGGCCCTGGCAGAGGTGCTGCAGTGAAGGGACAAGCCAGCCAAGCCCAGCATGCTGGCTGAGCGGGCTGGTGGCAGCTGTTTGGTGTTAGATGGGCATTTTGGTGTGCTTCGCCTCCCCAGAGTCAGGTGTAGCAGGTGGGCAGGGGGGGAAGACGGGGGCTGCTGGCCCGGCCAGGTGCTGGGGGAAGAGGGCTGCGGCCAGGGTTGGTATCTGCATTTGTCATGGGGGGATCGTGCTGACACATTTAGCACTTGTGGGCAGCGTGCAGCCAGGCTGGAGGAGTCCAACAGCTGGGGGGAATCCGGTGTCGGGCCCCGCGCTCCGGGGAGACACATCGGAGACGAAGCATCAAAGAGCAGGAAATTCAAAAGCATTTCTCGTCACACTGCCCATCCCACGCACAGCCCAGGGGCTCGCCGGTCCCCCCTGCCCGGGAGTACGGCGGGGCCGGTGGGCGATGGGGTTCCACGTGGGGCTGAGCCCCACTAATCCCACCCTGCTCCAGGGGTGCAGGGGGAGCAGGGTGGCTTTCACAGCCCGGGGGGGCTGGGGCAGTGCCGGCAGTGGTAGGTGGGCACTGGGGAAGACGTCTGCTTTTCATCATTGTCAAAATGTGGGCTGCAGCTGTCGGGCCGGCGGGCCGGCAGCACATGATCCCGGCAGCGTGGGGCTAAAATTAGAGGGCGGCAGGCGGGCAGCCCATTCCACCGCGCTGCGCCACGCTTGGTCACCAGCACCCCCTGACCAGAGCCCGCCTGCTGCTGGACGGCCCCACCGGCCCGCTCCAAGCCACCCTGAGGACTTGACGTGACATTGGGAGACAGCTGTCGGGCCGGCGGGCCGGCAGCACATGATCCCGGCAGCGTGGGGCTAAAATTAGAGGGCGGCAGGCGGGCAGCCCATTCCACCGCGCTGCGCCACGCTTGGTCACCAGCACCCCCTGACCAGAGCCCGCCTGCTGCTGGACGGCCCCACCGGCCCGCTCCAAGCCACCCTGAGGACTTGACGTGACATTGGGAGACGGGTCATGCCCCTGGCTGAAAGCCGCTGGG